CTCACTGACGATGCCGGCGAAACGTCTGGGAATGTACCACGTCCACGGTCATACTCTGGAAATGATGATGTACTCCGGACTAGGTGCGTTCCTTTAAGTCTTCATACCAATATGATCGAGTTGCGAAAACTAGGTCAAACAACTTTTATCTTGTTTTGTATAATATACACATTCTTATACCATAATTTATTTATTTTTTTTCATATTTGATTCACACTTATGCACCTTATTTTTTCATAGCATACGCTGAGCCGGTTATTAAAATATCACCTTTAATTAGCAATTAGCTATTGATGAATGGATGGTGTAAACCGGCCCCAAGACTTTCAGAGATTAATTTATCGTTTCATAAGTTGTCTTACGAGATTACCAGTAGATCTGATACAAGTTTTCAATCTTTTTCTCTTAGGGTGATCAAGGACTGGTAGCTGAATTCTCCCACTATGATTGAATAGGACATACTCTTTCATTGAATTTCACTTAGCCCTGCCCTTAAATTAAATGGAAACGTAAGGCCTATTCATATCATTGTGGAAAACTTCAACTGCCAGTCCTTGATACATAATGCTGAATTGTCCATACTTTTCTTCAGCCTTGCCTTTTTTCCTATAGATTGTAGATAATGGCATTTGAGTTTTGATGTCTGTAAATGCTCTGAATGCTTTTTTATTATAACTTAACTCGCATTCACTTAGGGCTGAATTCTTTACATTGTGGCCCCATTTGATTTCTAGTAAGTTGTATTTTTTCGTTTTTAACCTTTCGCATTTCTTCCCATATTTGTTGGGATGCTTATTTCTATTTAGAAAGCACAACACTACCCAATTTACTTGAATTTTATCGCTATTCTTCCCTCCGTATCATATTATTGCACATGTTCATTACCCATTATCTTATATTTCTTTTTATCCTGTAGGCCGTGGAGCGTCAAGGTTTCTCTCTTGAATATGCTCTACTTGGGAGTATCTTCGTTCCTCTCCTCAGTCTCATTCCTCTGATTTTCCATTCATGCCTAGCTGACGCCAGCTGGACCACGAAGTTTGCACTAATCCCTGTTGAGCCCAAGCTGTCTGTCCTAGCATCCACGACTGTGACTAATATTGCAGCCAACGCAACCCTTTCTAACAGTAGTAGATTAATTACAATGGCTTCATCAGTGGGTGCCAGCCACTCTAAAGCAGAAGGTGGTAAACAAATTACTCTAGTATTATATTCCCATTTTCAATTTTCACTTAGTTTGATGTGGTATTCTTTTCTTCCCCTTCTACATTATTAGCTACAATTGGCTCTTCTCTTCAATCATTAGAGCAACCAAGTGGTGAACTTCCCCGAGCTCCCCTTCTTCAATTGGCTTACTGGCTAGCAGTAGTCGCTGCGCAACTGAAGCGAACTTGGCTGGGCGATGATCTACTTCACAGCTTTATCATGTGGCTTGAAGTCTCTAATGGTGATACAATTACCGATTTATCAGAAGGCAAAAAAAAAGAAGCCAGTGGTACACTTACAGCAATCATTAGGTCCAGCACTGGCAGTAGCGAAGCTGATGAAAGTCAATTGCCTAGCTATCCTGGGCTTAGCCAAGCTATCTGGCTACTTCCTCAGCTAGGACTGTTGGTGATCCGAGCCAGCGTACTGAGTCTCTCTAGATTGCCAATTCGATTTGCTAATGCATGGATCTTGGCGCCTGACCTTGGGTAGGAGGTCATCAGCTATTCTATTAGTGTTCATTTTAGTATGATATTAGAAGAGTAAATCTCTTACTTTATATGAGTTGTATTCACCCTATTTCGTTTGAATTGATGTGAGACTGGTAGTTGATTTTTCCCACAATGATATGAGTAGAACTGACGTTTCCATTGCATTTCACACAGCCAAAAGATGTTCTCATATAGGGTTGACTTCAGTTTCAACCTCGCATAGGCCTTAACAACATCCCAACCCGGAGTCAAACCATTACCGGCGTATAAACTCGAAATTGACATGAGTACACTGGGGCAGATGTGAATTTCAAGTAATGTCAGGCATTTTCCATATCAAATTCTGTGTTGGGAGTGTCGATGAAGCAAACTTATATTTGCTACAGCAATCGACGACATTACCTTTTTCTTAAGCGAATAGGTTTTCGAGACTACCAGTAAATCAGATATATGAATTGCCTCGAAAACCTATTTACTTACGAAAAAAGTAATGTTCTCAACTGCTATAGAAAATATAAGTTTGCTTCATCGACAATCCAAACACAATTTGATAATGAAAATGCCTGACATTCCTTGAAATTTGCATCTGCTCTGTTACCCAAGGGCACTCGTGGCAATGTGGCGTACATGCTGAACTGTTATGGTTCGACTCCCGCTTTGGATGTTTATAAGACCTATGCGAGGTCGAAACTGCAGTCCATCCTGGATGAGAACCTCTTTTGGGAAAGCAAGATTATGTGAAATTCAATGAAAATGTCAACTCTACTCATAACTTAACTACCAATCCTTTATCATCTTTTCGTAATAGAGTGAATACAACTCACATATCTGATTTACTGGTAGTCTCGAAAGCCTACTCATTTTCGAAAGAATTTTTTTACTTTGTCAACTTTATTATTTGGATTTAACTCTCGGAAGCTTCTAACTCCAATATTTGTGTAGATAGGACAAGTATGTAGCAGTTTTATCTAAAAATTCTAAGTTTCGGATTCAAACCTCGTTGGAATGACGATTGGAGTCAGATAGGGTCGGGACTCTTGTCTATTTTGGGGCAAATTGTCGTGAAATTCAAAGACACAGCATATAGGTTGCTATTTGAGCTTGTCCTACTATATTATCTCGACATTTCCACCTCTTCAAGGTGAGACTCTTATCCTGCACTCATATTATTAGTTCTAGCGTCTTTTGTTCTATACTTTTTGCCATCTGTAATTGTATCCCCATCACTAGTTTTTTTTATATCAATGGCCTTTAAATTTTCCGTATCTGCATTTATTCACAATGCATCTCTTTACTCGCCTATTTAAAAACCCTACATATTTGCATATTGGCTGACGAAATTATTAACTCTTGCCGTTATTAAGTTTTGTCATCAATTTTTCATAGCTTTTAATTATTAGCATAGTGCGGCAGAATTTCACTCGACTAAATATTTGATCCATAACTTAACCTATTTATTTTTAACCTTCTCTTACTCCGTAATGTTTTTTCGCCCTACTTTTGCGGCCCATATATAATCAATCCCATTTTAACTCATTTTACCTGGAAATCATCAGAGTTCTTTTACAGATTTTATATTGATTTTGAACAATATTGATCCTTGGCGAATATTAATAGGGGCGGTAATGACATCAATACTGAATAATAATGCCTGGGATCTCCGAGTCCATCTAATGCACGTCAAATCGAGTAAAGCAAAACCACTTCGATGATAGCGGAATTCGAAACTAGGTTGTATTAATATCCGGTTGGATGAGTATAAAGATTAATTTGGCTGAAATTAATAGGGCGTAAACTCCTCTTGAAGCAAAAGCCTAACAGACTGATGATAAGTTATGTAAATTAATTCCTTCAATATTATTTAACCTTAATGCTATGAGTCTCATTTGCTACGAGGCTTACTCACGTCCAGCAGGTCAACTAAATGATATAACGCACATTTCTCAAAATTCCCACGATAAATTGGATTAAGTTTTATTAATGCATCTTACTTTAAACGTATATTCGGCAAATGCTACTCATCTAGTCAACTGTTTTGGCCCAGCTCAGCTGGATTTGAATGCTAAGTAATTCACTTAACTTTATCTATAGCGAAAGGCTGTAATTCTACTATTGTTACTTTAGATTAAACCATTTTTGTCCATTAATTTATGTTACTTTTTTTTCGAGTCCATAATTTTCGCAATTAAATTTTAGAAGAGCGAATCGAGCCCAGCCATTTTTTACTTTTTATTCTTTATGGATACTTCATATTTTGTATAGCATGGTTTATTTGTATTACATTTTTTGCTTTTAATAGACTTTTTCCAACCAAATAAGGCTTCTTATTCTCCTACCTTATTTACATTTTCGTTTTTCTTCACTTTCCTACAGTGGCCGAGTAGTGATCGTTCTAAGTGTATGGCTTCGCTTTAATCTATATGGTGCGATCTTCTTCTTTCTCTGTGTGGCTGAACGCACCTTCCAGCAGGTAAGTAAACAGGCTATTTAGCCCAGATCCCGGATATTCTGATACATAACTGATTCATATGTGGCCTCATGCCTGGCTTAGTCGATTTTTTTCTATTTGTTACAATCTAAATGTCCATTATAAAGTTTAGTCTAAGATCGTAGATATGAGGATCAAGATGATGTGGCCTTGGGTTTGCTCGCACTCTACTTTAGCTGTATAGTTTTGGTTCAACTTCTTTTTCGCAACATGGTCTTAGCGATAGGAAGACCTTATAGAACGTAACTAGTCCCGCATCCCCTTCCATAGTATTTATGATAATTTCCAGCATCGGGCCATTTACTTGATACATTCTCGGACGTTTCGCCAGCATCGTTAGTGAGAAGCGCCATCCTTAGCACAGAGTTACAACTTATCAAAGTGACAAATAAAGGCAATCCCATTGACTTATTTTCAGTTCAATCGTTGTGACATCACTCCTACCCCTTGTTTGCTGTCCTAGCTTCTCTTTCTCTCTACCCCAATTTATATGGCCCATTTACTTAGTCACAATTCTTTGCTCTCATCTTCTCCGATATCGCTTATACTTGTGTCACTTTAAGTGGATTTAGGAAAGCATTCATCACCGATTCCAGATGCCGTTCACATACCTTCTGATTTTCATTTAACTCGTTTCCACTCCGCTTGCCAGTTTTCCACTGCTACACATGAAAATCATTGTATGTCTGGATACCTATGAGCCTTCGATTCCATCCTATATTTATGTCATAGAGGATTTAAAGAATTGTAATTCACATGCGTAGGATGCATCTTTTACTCCATATGCTTCAGAACCATGCCATAACCCAGCTATCCACTTTCTTGGGCCGCTTCCCTTCTCCACTCCTGAATCACTTAAAATACACTCTTGTTTCTCAAGTTGGCAGTACTTCTTATTCGTAAGGGTCTAATCTGTTTTTCATGCTTACGTGAGCTGGTAACTACTTTAATCAGACATGTCGCCATCCACCTCTCACAATAGGTATACACACACACACACAAGGTCCCCACTTCGGTTTCCACACCCAAGAGAATTTGAAGTATGCATTGACCTTTAGCCTAGCACCCCTAATGGTGTACTATTTTTATTCGTAAGTTAGTAGGGTTTTGAGACTATTTTAATGTTTATGACCTTTAATTTATATCCCACATGTGTATCTACACCGGTAACTTTTCAAACTGCTTCTAGGTTTGCCTTCTCTGGATGTAGTCTCCTCTTCATGACTTTCATTTATGACTCATAATCCTCTTTCTGACGATGTATCTTCCTGTTGTTGAATATCAGTCTTGTTCAAAACTTCTTTTAACTATCTTTGCTTAATCTCTAAGTCTGCATAGGCTGTACGCGAAATTCTCACTGACTGCTATATTCCAATTTTCTGTTAATCAGGTTTCTTTTAAGGAGGATGTCCACGTGCTACCTGATCTTCCCTTTTCTAGTGTTCTCATATGATGCCAGTCTTTCAGTTGCACTTAAGTCAATTGTGCGGCCGATCAGGGTAATATGTTCAGCTATATCCTATCTTCCCATATCCATTTTTCTTCATAGTCGCTTGTGTTCTTTGATCCTTTTGCTGATTGTCCTTCAGTCTCTCCGATATACTTTTGTTTACAGTCTATCAGTTTCTGCTGTAAACTCATAAATACTCCATTTTGAATTTTTCGTGTTGTGTGGGAAGGCTGGTGAAGAGAGTCGTCCCTTCCTCCAGGGCAGTATCAGTCTTCCATTTCATTAGTTCCGATCCAGTTCGCAGGTGGGTAGATATATCAATCGATTCTTCTTCGTTTTATGCTTTCTTTCTATAATCCCCATCCTGCCATCCGCTCATCATAATCAATATGCTGTATTGTATTGTATCTTGATATCCGTTTCCCAGAAATAAATGATTAGCTTTTCTTGTTCATCTTCCCAGAACTCAGATTCTATTATTCGTAGGAAAATGCCTTGAAATGTACCAAGTCATCGGTCCGATGCTATAAATCATCATGAATACTATGGTGGAGGGCTCAGGACTAGGTACGTTCTACAAGGTCTCGCTGTTATTCTGAGCAAGTTAACACTAGAGTAGTCTAATCTTAACTAGACTTAGAGAAGTCTTAAGAAGATAGCATTAGGAGAAGAATTCGATATATTAACGGACTATTTTCTCGCTTATAGCAAGAGGAATAACGTGAGTAGCAGAATAAAAGAATAGTTGATCAACGAATTCGATTAAGATAGTAAAAATCATTTATATTTGAGGCTTTAAACGGAATTTTGTTTATTAAGTTTTACTGAAGTAGTTTATTTGTCCAGAAAGGTCATTATTTGTATTTTCGGGATGACTGGCCCTCGATCGAGCATCAGTTCTGCAGCGTCAGAAGCCCTTGTGTTCCTGCTCATGTTTCCTTGTGTAAATGATGTATTAGGATGTCAAGATGAGCTTTCTTCTACAAAGCGATGATCAGGATTGCAGGACAATGAACCGAGTACTTCTCCGCAAAATCCAAAAGTCTTCACTCCGCGGCATTCC